TCCAAGAACACGTCTGCCTCCACTAGAAAAAGTACTCGTTCTAAGGAAAAACCCTCCTCTCAGCCCCTAGAGCAAGTAGACCTAGGGTCTGACCACTCAGAAGAGTTTGCCTTATCTCAGGCAGAATTATCAGACCATTCTCACCAAATAGGAGAAAAAGCCCTTGGAAAAAGACATATGAAAGACCCCTTTGAATCTTTTACCCCCAAGAAATCCAAAGTAGACCTCTCGAGTTCTCTTGAGTCCGACCTCAATTTCTGGGATACCCCAAATAGGGATATCTTTGTTGCTTTGAAAGACAAGCCCATTGCTCAAGGCAGAATAGTTGACCTTGACGATATGGAGGCCCTCAATTGCAAGGTAAAAGATTTGTTTGTTTTTCAAGAATGGTCTAAGTTCCTCTCTGTACCCCCTTCCAAAGTTTATGAACCTTTAGTGAGAATGTTTTATGCTAATCTTCGCTCTAGCAAGCCTGATAAGTTGGAATCCTTAGTATTAGAAAAATGCATTGTCCTTGATTGTGCCATGTTTGACTCAATTTTTCAATGTAAGTGCTCTGGTTTTTTTATGCTTTTCAAGAATAATTGGCCTGATGACTTTGAAATCTCTTTAGATCTAGCAAAACGCTGTATTGCTGAGTATCCATCTGACTTCCTTCCTAACCAGTTATGTCCCAGTGATGTTAGTTTTGAGACCCGAGTTCTGGCCCATATTTTTGCAACTACTCTTCTTCCTCGTACTGGATCATTCTCGACCTTCTCTCAATAAGATACCTTTCTTGTCTACTTCTTGTAACCAAACTGAAGGTTAAACTATCCTCATGGGTCATAAATTTCATGATTGAGAGTATTGATGATCCCACCAGTTTGCCCTATGGTATGGCTATCACCCACATTTTGGAAGCCCACAACATCTTTATCTCAGAATACCCTTTTGTCTCTGTTTCAAAATCCAACAACTCTAGGGCTTTTGCTAGCATGGGGTATGTGTGTGCTAAGGGTTCCTGGGTGAAGAAACGGGAAGGTGAAGTCAAGAATGTTCAACCTGATTCCAAGATTAAAGCCTCTGTTTCCCATCATAGTGTAAGTGATCCTTATCTTATGGAGAAACTGAATGCTATTGACAAAAAGTTAATCATCATCAAGGACCTTCTTACTGCAATTCAATCCACTATTGGGGACATCCATGCGATCTCCAAGGAGACCGGGCCCGTGTTTCAAAGATGAGAGTTAAAATTCTCAAACTTGGAGAAAATGCACTCAATGCTTTCAAGGAAGTACATGACAGGATTGATGGGGTGACAGTTTCAACCAATGCCAGCTTTGAACGCCTGAATGAGGCAATTTGCAACTTACTTATTTATTGCGTCGTTAATTGTGGAAGTTTCAAATAATTGTATTTTGCTATTTTGTTGCTTTGGACTGGAAAACCAGTCGCTGGATGTTTTGATAAACTCTGTATGCCTATAATATTTGCCTAGGATGTATAATATTGGACTGTAATTAGTATATTTGCATACCCCATATTTATTGATGTCAAAAAAGGGGGAGAAAGAAGTTTGTTCGTTGCAGGACAGACTGTTGGAAATGTTGAAGGGGAGTCGACTGAAGCACCTGTTGAGGGGGAGTCGACTGAAGCACCTGTAGCACCTATTGAGGGCGAGTCGACTACAGGGAAGTTAACTGTTGGTTATATATTATTATTTTTATACATTATTTTTGTCATCATCAAAAATGGGGAGATTGTTATCTATAAGTTTCAATGATAAAAAAATAATATATCACATTTGGTGTAGGATCATGATGGTAGGCTATAATCTCGCGTTTAAGTCGCTTATTGCACTCTAAATTATTGCACTTCAACTGAGTTTCAGCTTTAATTGCTAGTATTTTACACTAATTTCGTGTTTCATGCCTTGTAAGAGTGATTCCGAGCTATGTAGATGTTATGGAATGAATTAGAGCTATTTGGAGCTTTGAAGTCTGAGTAAAAGCCCAAGGAATTAAGCCGGGATCGCGTTCCGGGGTCAAGGACCAAGCCTGGATATCAAAACGCGAGCAAAAATGATTCACTCTGAGAAACCTCCACAGCCGCAGCATGTGGGGCGGCGCGTGGCGCGCCGCGGCTGCCCAAATCTGATGCCTGTTGATTTTGCTATCTCTTTGAAGTTTCCCACTGCTGCCCGCCTGGCGCGTCGCCCCATTCGGTGCCTTGTGCAATTTTATAGAGCCGGAATATTTCGTGTAGGAAAAGGTATTTTCGGTTGGGCCCGACCCTACTTAGTATAAATACATGTAAAAACGTTATTTTGAGGACTTTTTTGATACATCATAGACCTAAGAAAGCTAAGGAGGAGGTGGAGAAGCAAAAGCACAAGGATTTCATCATTCAATCTTCACTCAAGACAAGAGTTTGGATCGTTTTATGTTTTCCTTTGATTTAAACATATTTGTGATGAATTACTCTATGTCTATGGAGTAGCTCTCTTTAGGATTTGATGGATTTGGTGTCTTGATACTTGTTTGGGGATAATTAACTCTAGTTTTATGTATTGAATCGTTTTGGATATTTTAATCGTTGCATCTTCATTCACTAGTTCATGTAATCAAGAGAGGCATAATTTTTTGCATTCTATCTTGTTGGTTGAATTCATTAATTCTTCTTAGTAATCGGAAGAGGCTAGTTTAATTGTTGATTAAACCTAGTTAGGAGTAAAATCGAGAGAGGTTCTCCTAAAGACCAATCCACTACGAATTCTTGCATATCTTCACGTACTTAAAAATGGTTCATCTTGTGAGGTTGAGACTTAATCAAGAGAGGAGTTTCTACTAAAAAATTGAATTAATAACCAGGTGAGTTCGAGAAATTCACTTGAATATTAGAAGTGAATTATCTAGAGTTATATCCCAAACATTTGTCATGTACCTATCTTATCAATCCTATCTTCTCCCAATTGATAACCTTCTTTGTTTAATACTTGTGTTGATTGTCATTAGTCAATAAGTTACATTCTTTGTTAATTTTAGTTTAAATCACATAATTCTCGATTATTGATCATCTTGGATAGCAATCGAGCTATAAACTATAAAAATACTGTTTAACTCCAATCCCTGTGGATACGATATTTTATTTTACTATATTCGACTAGCAAGCATATTTAAGTGTGCATTTTGTGCTCGTCAAATCACAAGGAATAAAAAAATCAATCAAGAAGCAATACCAATCAAGAATAGATTAAGGAAACAATCAGCAACTCAAGGAAAGGAATCAATGATTAGTGATGAAAAAGGAAGAAGCAGCGGAGATTCGAAAGAAGAATCAATCGGTGATTCTATAAATGATTGATGGAAGCTATTACTGGAAGGTCTCAAAATCAAAGGGAAATTAGATCGTAAAGAGAAGGCACTGAAGACAGTTGAAGTCAGAAATCAAGGGATCTAGCGGATACGCCTCAAGTAACGAATAGATATGCCTAGCGGATAAGAAGCTCATCAAAACCACAAATCAAGGAAGATCAACGGAAATCTAACTTTATTTTTGGAAAGAATCAATCTATGATTCATTTCAAGGATCAACTTCCTTGGGTTTGCAATCTCTCTAGATTCACGAGTCAAGAAGGCCTCATAAAGTGTATGTATACATACGTTCCAGATTTGAAGCGAATATACTTTGAACTAACCATTTTCACTCCTTTTGTTCTACTCCAAACAAGCATTATAGTTCTTATAGATCTGCTGTGTGATTAGTGAGAGAAGAAAAAAAAGATAAACACTGGTGAGGCATTGTATCAAGAATATAAAAGTGACATAGAGATTGTTCTGTTGGTGTAAAGCTACATCAACCATTCTGTACGCAAGAAACTTCGATCACTGAAAGAGAACACCCTTGTAACCCAAGGGGTCTGGACTAGGATTCACATTGAATCCGAACCAGTATAAAATTCTGGTGTCTTTAATTCCTGCACTTTATTTCTGCATTACTATTATCCTATTTCTATTTCTAGTCGACTAATTGGTAAACTAGTCAACTACTTATTTTTTAAATAGGCAATTCCCCCCCCCCCACCCCCCCCACCCCACCCCACTCCCGTATTTTTTAGAAGTGGCTTTATAAGGTTAACCTCAATTCTTACCTTGGCCACATCTACAAACTAGAATAATGCAAGTGTACGTTACCGCAATCGATCAAATCATATCCAGAGAGTTACTAAATTTGGTCACCCTAAATATGTATTAGGATAAGCTTGATAAGCTCTCTTAGGTCATATTTAATTCATCATTGTATAGAGTTAACCCAGTTTATTTTTTGAATTTTATAAATATATTCCAATAATTCATGTTCTTCTTTGATCTTGATAAGAAATATCGATGCCTTATTCTTCACAAGATCCACATGATATTGTACAATATTTCTGAGCTTCCTAATTAGCAGTTTTCTAGCCATTAAAAATATTTGTATCAGCATCACAAGCAAATCGACGCATTAATGTCCCAATAAATATAATTACACATCAATGTGCCATTTGATACTTTGAGTCAATTAGCATTGGTATAGATCTAGAATAAAGGAATTATATGACAACGCATACGCATAGCCAACCCCTTAAGTTATACCTTTGTCAGCATATATGAACTGAAACTAGCACGATCTAATTAATCATATGTTAATACTCTTTATGTTTCATTATTTCACATGGCACTATTTTCTCAATAGCCGTCCCAAAAAGAATTTCATATTTCTATGTTTAGAAATAATTAATTTTATACTTCTCATCTTACCTTTAATGATATATTTTTATAGCTATAGAATCTTATGGCATATTTAAAATTACGAGTTACAAAATATTTTTCCCTTTCATAAACTTCGTGCACATTCGAACCGCGCTCTTGGGGAGGAATAATTAGCAAAAACAATAATTAATAATGAATAAGCACTAAATAAAACAAAGAATTTAATGATGAAATCTGTCTATCCTATCTATCCCACAGGCTGCATGCAACTAACAAAACAACAATCAACATGTCTATATACATAAATGAATCAAAAGAACAACTTTTCTGGTGTAATAAAGAAACTAAAGAGAAAACAAACAAAATCGCAGCAGAGCTGCAGGTACATTCTTTCCTCTGTGTTTAATGTTTCAATCCTCAATTGACTCAATCAGTGTAGCAAAAATTCAGTTTGCTGCATGTCATAATCTACAGTAATATAATTCTGATCGAAAGCAAAATCCTCTTGACCTTTTCCTTTAATGGTTTAGGCCAAAGTGCATGTAGTATATCCCAACCCATATTGCTCGAATCCTCCAAATATTCCACCAGGTGTATTCCAAATCCTTAAAAAATAATGCATTTTTGGAGGACCCGAGCAACAATGATTCCAACTGGTCATCTTTGCCACGCCATACGGTAACGTGATGGAGTTGGAGACTTGACTACAAACCATCTCCATGTCAAATCTTTCAACCCATTATCATATACCTCGCAAAACTTTTGTGGCCAACCTTTTGGTTCAACAGGACTAAATCCTAGTCCTGGAGTTCTATCATTCGAATGTGGATTTAATTCTTGTGTCCAATCAATAACATAAGCTGACACCCTTCTTCTAAACTTAGCCTTAAATTCAGGCCAAGCTTGGAATTTATAATGATTCACCACCATATCATGTACACTCATTTTCTTTCCCTTGTACCCTTGCTTCAATATGAAATGATGAATCACATTAAGCAAAGAGTGATCAACTGCATCCAAAAATACTATAGACTTGTGTCTATTCTCCATTTTTCTTCTACAATTGTATCCTTGTGTCACTCCCATTATCGGATGGGACTTCTTATTCGAAGGTCCAAATTCGTAACATGGGATGCTAATTTCTGCGACCTGTTTCTTATCTTGTACATTCTTGGGATTTGGTAACAAAGAATGTAACAATGATTTTGATGGACGAGATAAATTAGACCATAGTCGAGAATACACAAATTCATCCACATCAATGTACATCATCCAAGAACAAGAGTCTTTAGCATAGATTGCACTATGAGAAAAACCAGCTTCTTGAGTTTTAGGCCATAGCCAATAATATGTTTTCACATCATAGCCTTCTTGAACAAGCTCATCAACAACTTTTGGTAAATCATCATCACTAGCATTATCGTATAATACGAATTTTTCAACCCCGATTCTTGAATGATATAAAACCCATTCTTTCAAAAACTTGCCAACGTTGTACACCATGGTACATGCACAAAGTCGAGCTCTTTCTGTCTTCTCGTTACTTTCTAGCTTACGTGGCAGAGTGTAATAAGCCACGGAAGGTACCACCACAGGAACAGCACGTACAATCTCAAGGGAGACAGTAATTCTCTCTTCAAAGGACAAAACATTTGGATCTGGCCGTTTACAACGGAAAACTTCTTGCATGGAACTCGTGACGTTGGTTCTAATTACATTATTGCCACGACCGAAAATACAGTTAAATTCGTTGGGTTCACGGTTAATTCCTTGGCGATTATTCAACCCTTTAACAAACAAAACGACGTCGTCATCCGTCGTTAGAGAGTCATAAACAAGAAACGTCCAACGTAACAGTTCCGGCTGTTTAAACGGCGTTACATTATTCTTCTTTTGTGAAGATTTCATCAGCATGGGTTGTTTAAACGGCAATCTCCGACGTGCTCTCCTGGGAAACTCGCACTTGAATAAAGTGCGACCTGGAAACCGGAGCTCTCCGGCGGGAATCGCCGGAGATACCTCCCCGGTTTCAAATACACAAACATAAGGATCCTCTTGAGAGGAAATTAAAGGAGTAAAATCAGGAGAGACAATAACGAAAACTTCCCAAGCAGGCATTAGAATTGATACAGAAGAGATAATATTATTTGTTGAAGGAGTAATGACAGGAGATATATGAGGAGGGGATGAGATAGAGATGTTTTCCTCGAGTGCAAGGTTATTGGTTTTGGAGGAGATGGTGATGGTGATTTGTGGTAGTGGTGGGGGAGGGGAAGGGGAAGGGGGAGGGGGTGGGGGGTCGGTGGCGACGGAGAGGAGAGGAGAAGAAGGGCGGAGATCATCATCGTCAACGGTGGAGGAGACGGCGGAGATAGAATCACGAAGTTGAAGATGATAGAGGGTAGCAAAGAAGACAAGGGAAGTGACAACGAAAAGAAAGGTGGAAGGGATTTTTCGAGCCATAATCTTTTTTCATAACAATGGCGGAATTGGAAGGTCATAAATAAAAGTAGTAAACAATAATGAACAAATTAATATATGGAATTTCAATTCAAGAAGAAGAAGGAAGAAGGGCATGCAGCCTGGCACAAAGATTCCTTACATGATTAGAATATTAGTAGGAAACTGAAGTTGGATTGGAATAATGATTAATGGAATTCTTGATACAAAATGGGAACTGGAAAAGGAATTATTGTTGGTTTTTGGTTGGTTTATTCTTTCTAATCATTGTCTGAGGCTGATTATGATTTTATCAATTTCCCAAATGACCCGGTGGATATATGTGGAAAAAGATAGAAAGGACATGGGAGGAAACAACGGACCCGATTCCGTTTATGGATCAATTAAATTGTATCTCAATTTTAAAGTTGTTGTATAATAATTCCCTAAATCATGGAGTAGTGTTTATTTTAGTAATTTTTATTCAAATTTAATTTAAACTGTGTTTAGGCTTATTACAGTAACGTGTAAAATATTATTGCGATATATATACAGTGGCGTATGCAATATTTTTCGTAAACGGTGTCATTATTTTAAACCGTGAATAAGTAAATAAATCTCAAAAAAAAAGAACATGATTTGAATCATATTAATAACTCAAGCATATATTATAAATTTTCATTTTTTGAAATGCGTTCAAAATAAACTCATAAGAATAATTTTTTTTTTTACATAAAGCACCAAATATTCTATTAAAAACTCATCATTCATTTGATTTCGTAAATTATTTTTATAAATTTTCTCGTCGAGAATACAGAAAGAAAAAAAAATAGCCGAACTACTCACGGAAGATTTTGTTCAAAACTAGAAGGTCAATAGCTCAAATCCAGCTGGTGTATCTTAAGCACAAAAATACTAAAACAAATAGTGATGTTGTGCGCCTTCGAACTTTATTTAATCCAGCTGCTTAACTATTTTACTAGTAGTGTCACTTTATTTAATTTGTTCTAGTTTTTGTTTCGATATTTCAACCATAAATAAATATTAGTAAAATTTCCCGACGAATCGCCTAAGGTATATATATATATATATATATATAGATATAGATATAGATATATATAAACTTGCCCTTATACAGATATTTGATTTCTATTCTACATGTCTAGCTTTTGTTCTTTGTTCCGATATTTCTCATTAAGGGACCATGAATATTTGGATGATGTAACTCTACTTTGATTTAGTCTATCGTGTGCATGGGTGGGGTTTAATAATGTATTTATCATTAGCAATATTAGGGTGTGCTGCTCGTTCAATAATGCACTTTTTATTATATTACCATTTTCCGTATTACGTATAGATGACCATACTAGATATATTAATTAGTTGCCATATTGTGTCACAGTCCATTCCCACGCAACACTTGGAGATTCAAACGGGTCAACTCGAATCTTCCGTTACTTTCCACTGTATAAATTTCCTCTAATTAATTATACAAATAAAGCGTAACATTTATCCACTAACAGTAATAAATAAAACTTTTTTCATATAATTATGTTTTTTTTTATAAATTAAGATTCAGCATTGAGTAAAATAAGTTAAAAATGTTACTAAACGGGAGAGAAAGGTAAATGACCTATAGCAAACGAAAATAGCACTATTTTATGCTGCAGATATAATTTAAAATAACAAAATAAATCAGAATAACTGGTACTATTATACTTGCTACTATAAGAAAAGAGTACAGGTGGTGATTCTGTCTTCATCTCTTGGTTTTCCTTCTGACGAGTTTGTTATACTTGGAGTGGCGTGATCGTTTTCTAATGCCACAGTACCACTTTATGCATGAACACGTGATGAGAAATATTGAAGGACGTGAGTTGCAGGGAAGATTTAGTTAGTTATACTTAAATAACATAATTAGTTACACATTATGTTTTGATGGTGTCCGAATTTAGAGAGTCAAACGAATTATTTTTTTACCATAATTTTTTCGTATGCCTTTCAAATATTTTGAATTATTAATTATTTTGACTTATAATTCCTTTTATGTAGATTTTAAATGGAGTATATAAATTTTATTTCAAAAAACTAGAAGATTCTATGTTCAAATATACAATCAAAACTAAAAAAGTTAAAAACTTTAAATAGTGTCACATAAATTAGGACAGAAGAAGTATATGTCAGTGTACGAATTACTATATAAAGATGAGTTGTATGCATAAGTGATATTATGGTTTCTTACCAACTTATCATAATAAGTGATATTATGATTGCTTAAAAGATAAGTATCAGTGATATTAATGTATACGGGTAAAATCGGGGATAATGCATACCCCCGATTTCCGGTGAAGAAGACGAAAGAAGGGCACGGACGCACGAGGTTGAAATCGAGGCTGGGAGCCCTTCGTATCGAGATCCATTAAAGGTGAACGATGTGTTGTTCATCATCGAGCGTGATACAGCAATGCTCCCCGGATCCAGAACGAGCTCTAAGACCTCGGAAATATGGCAAACAGTTACGCACGACGGATAGAGGGCCGTAATATCCGTACCTAATCGGATATCACGACGCAGATCTCACTCGATGTCGGTTACGGATCAGTAATTAATGAGAAAGGAAGATTTTTATCTTTTTTAGACTTGTACTAGGGATAAAACTCTCCTACTATATAAAGGGGAAGTTTTTCTTTTGTAACACAAGAATCAAAGCAATACAAATTCATTTCTGCTTTCTAGCTACTATAAAATTTCTTATTTAATTGTTCTATTCTTTGTTCATAACCGGACTCAAACCAAGGGTCCGATCGGGGGCGAAACTACTGTTCAACCTAGGTTCGGGCTAGGCCATAACACCACAATTGGTTTGATAGTTCATTTTGTCTTTAACTCGTTTATCTAATATTCTTGATTATTTGTATTGAATCAATCCACGTATCTTTATAACCGCGTACAAATTTAATTGTTATCAGATTTAAGGGTAAACAGTTTCGTGCCCACCGTTAAGGAAAATAGTGGTGATTTGACATGAATCTCCATAACACACCTATGCTTGTTCTTTAAAAGTCTGAATTTCAGGTTAGCCCAAAAATGTCGAACTCTCAGTCTGCCCACTTGAACGTTGACGCTGTGTCTGGCCATCATAGTGAAAATAACAATTTGGTGCCTAGCAATAAGGTGCCCCCTACTGATCCCAACGGTATCCCAATCGCCGATCCGGTTGATGCTAACTCGCAGGTGACCATCGATGTTAATATGCCAACTGATCCCGAAAATAGTGTTCGCGGGGGACCCCGACCAACAGCTCGACAAGCACCCGAAGGCGAAAGTGATGGGGTAAGCCTACGGCTAATCTTCGAAATGTTGCAGGCTCAACAAGCGACAATAGCGTAGTTATAGAATCAAGGGCATGTCCCCAGCAGGGTCGAGCCCGAACAACCCCGGGAAAGCACCCGAAGAAACGAACAAATCACCGAAAGATCGGGTGAAGTCGAGCCCGGGGTCAACCCCGAGATAATGAAAATGCTTGAAGCATTAACGAAGCAGGTGGAGTTAAGTGAGAAGAAATTGAGGCTAATGACAAAAAGTTGGAAACCTACAATTCTAGGGTCGACCAAATCCCGGGAGCACACCCAATATTGAAGGGATCGGATTTCAAGAAATTCATCCAGAAGCCTTTTCCTCCGAGCGTGGCACCGAAGCCAATCCCGAAGAGGTTTTGTATGCCTAATATTCCCAAGTATAACAGAACCACGGATCCAAACGAGCATGTGACCTCCTATACATGCGCAATCAAGGGAACGACTTGGAAGACGATGAAATCGAGTCAGTGTTACTGAAGAAGCATAGGGAGACTTTGTCTAAAGGAGCAATGATATGGTATCACAACTTACCCCCAAATTCTATTGACTCTTTTGCTATGCTTACAGATGCTTTCGTAAAAGCCCATGCCGGGGCCATCAAGGTCGAGACCAGAAAGTCAGACCTTTTTAAGGTTAAATAAAAAGACAACGAGATGCTTAGAGAGTTTATGTCAAGGTTCCAGATGGAACGGATAGACCTGCCTCCAGTTGTAGATGACTGGGCCATCCAAGCATTCACTAAGGGGCTTAACCTCCGAAGTTCCTTGGCCTCTTAATAGCTAAAACAAAATTTGGTAGAGTGCTCGGCGGTGACCTGAGCCGACGTCCACAACAGGTACCAGTCAAAGATAAGGGTCGAGGACCACCAACTCGGAGCTCGTTATGGGTCTGTTTACCATATCAGGATCGATGACAGGTCTAAGAGAACCGTTGATCATTATCCAAGACTGGTTCAGGATCGGTACCAACCATACAGTGCGGGCCGAATGGGAAATAGGTCCGGGTGTCACCCCACAAGGAACGAGAAAAGAAGCGATCGGAGACCCAGTAGCCGAGGTCTGCTGAACAAAAATGGTTTCGACAGGCCGCTCGGGCGTAGGGAAGCACCGAGATTATCAAAGTATAACTTCAACGTTGATGCCGCCAACATCGTGTCAGCCATCGGGCGTATCAAAGAGACCAAGTGGCCTCGACCATAGCAGTTTGACCCTACCCAAAGAGATCCTAACTTGATGTGTAAGTATCACGGTACTCATGGTCACAGGGCCGAGGATTGCCGACAATTGAGAGAAGAAGTTGCCCGGTTGTTCAACAATGAACACCTCCGAGAATTTCTGAGTGATCGAGCCAAAAACCACTTCAGGAACAGGGACGCCAACAAACAGGTCGAACAAGAGAAGCCTCAGCATGTCATCAACATGATTATTGGAGGGGTTGATGTCCCCCAAGGTCCAATGATAAAGCGCACTAAAGTATCTATCACAAGGGAAAAACGCAATCGAGATTATGTCCCAGAGGGAACCATTTCGTTCAGCGACGAGGGTGCCGACGGCATCATAATGATATGCTGGTAATATCCGTACTTATCAATAAATCTCGAGTTAAACGTGTGTTTATTGATCCAGGTAGCTCGACCAACATCATCAGATCGAGGATCGTAGATTAATTAGGGTCAAAGGACCAAATAGTGCCAGTAGTTCGGGTGCTGAACAGGTTTAACATGGTATGCGAAACCACTAAAAGGGAGATAACCCTGCCGGTGAGCACCCCTAGGACAGTCCAAGAAACAAAGTTTTATGTGATCGAAGGGGACATGAGGTATAATGCTCTATTCGGAAGGCCGTGGGTTCATAACATGAGGGCGATACCCTCGACCTTACACCAGGCGCTCAAATTCCCTACACCGAGAGGAGTCAAGACTCTCTACGGAGAGAAGCCGGCTACAAAGGAGATATTCGCAGCCGACGAGGTATTCCCGGTGCTTGCAGTTTCGACATCAAGGAACACGGAGCCGACCAGAAAGGAAGAAATTGAATAGCAATCACAGAT